CTAACTTGTCTCTCTGTGCAGAGTTGTGGGAGGCTGTTCACCATGGATGGCTTGGCAGTCCGTCACAGTGTTCTTCAAAGTGTTGCAATACAGAAACCTCCTTATTGTCTAAGCCTTGTCAGAAAAACGAGTTTAAAGCACAGGAACAGTTATCACAAAAGATACGGACTTTAACCTTAAAACCAGGAACATCCCTTTGCACAAGTCATCTCTCAATGATCAAAGGGGGCTTGGGCGATTTCCAAAGTACCCTACTGTGTTGTTCGGGTTCTTTCTCTTCGTGTTTGGTTTGCCTTTTGTCTGTGTGTGTCTGTGTGGATTAAAAACACAGACCGCAGTTTTCCCAGTTCTATTTTTGACATACATTTTAAATGACAGCGAGAACGACTTGTCAATCAAAGTGTTTTATTCATGAGTCATTTTCCCATGCTTTGGCAGACATCAGTTCTAAATTAATGAGCCCCTCTTTGCTTGTCAGAAGAACACGTTTAAGACTTGTCTCCTCCTCTGTGTCTCCTTTTTTTCTACCACAGCTTTGATATCAGCAGGCTGCTGCACCAACAACTGCAGAAATGTCAAGCTATGGGACAGGTAAACCACTCTGCACATTGTTATGCTTTTTTTCCCCCCATATGAACCGCCTTTGTGTTAATTAGGGACTCAGCGAGAAGATGAAAAGCCAGTGAAGGGCATTGTCAGTTTTTACCAGAAGGGTCCATAATCCTGTAATTAGCTCCCATTATTCTGCTTCACCATTCAGTGTCGCTCTCTGATTTTAACTCCTGTGTTGACGTCTATTCAGACAAGGCTGGAGGGGTTTACATTAGCAGGATTTACGTGAAGCAATAAAAACAATCTCTTGGTGAGAGAGGCCTAACATATGGCAGTATTTACCATATGATTCTCACAGGAATCATTGAGAAATAAACAAACATATAGTCTGGTCCTGATTAAATGCGATGCCAGTCTAAGTGTTTCTCGATTGCATCAGTTCCTACGCTTTCTCAGGTGGAATCAGGGAGTTTACTGGGACGATGGCGTTAGAGGTGACCCTATTCTGCCTCTGTGTGTCGTCGTACGTCTTCAATCAGGCCTCTGTGTGAGGCTGATATGCCTCTGTTAATATTTGATGACTGAGAAACACGGCGTACCTGCCTGGCCGCTTCTGTCGGGAAATGCTTAAACATAACAATATGCCGCCACAGCGCAGTTCCCTTCCCTCTTGTGTCATACAAAAAAACATCAGATGATGTACTTTGTGTCTGTGGCTAGATAGGAGACAAGTAAGAAGGATGCGTTAACACTGCAGGCTGAAGTCTGGCCCCGGTCACCCCTCAGCTCTGTGATGCAGCGTTGAACAGATGCGAGCAGCCACAAAACATTCTGTCAGGAACTCAAAAGACGACGAAGCTGAGAATGTTAGTTTTTATTCTGTATACCGCATTTTCCAGACTATAAGTCGGACTTTTTTTTTTTTTTTTTTTTTTTCATAGTTTGACTTGTCTTGCCACTTATAGTCAGGTGCAAATTATGTACATTTGGTTTTTCTCTTAGATGTCAATTCATACTTTTTGACGTGAGCCAAGGATTAAACATTACTGTCTGCAGCCGCGAGGAAAGCTAATCAGAGACAAGAAGCAGGAGGGCCACAGCTTGAGAAATAACTTCCACAGATGGATGCTATAAGAACACACTGCAGATTCCCTGATGGTCCATGATACCTTATCAGATTTTCCTACCGTAAACATAGATAGCCGAGTCTATCGGTCGGTGTTATCTTTCGAAACTGCTACAGCACCTGTTGAGGCTTACATCTCCACGCCTTGGTAGTTACCAAAATGAATTGCTTTGCAGGTGTTGCCGCCTCATGCAATGCAAGCACCTCACCTCAGATTGACCCTGCATGCGCCTCTGGTGTTCTACGCGCTTTGCTGTTGGAGCGGAGCCGTTCCTAAACACCCTGATTTAGAGCACGATATCAGCGCATCAGAAACTGCCAGCTGACTTACAAGCCAAAGTCGACAGTTTCCGTCCGTGTCTTGAAAAGCAAATGAACACGTGTCACCGGATCATATCAGTCCTGTGGATGAGGTCCCCCTGATTCTCAGGTGGAATCTATATATATGTCACTCCGGTGTGACATATATAAAGTTTCTTTCTTCACGCTGCATTTGCAACTTGTAGTCCGGAGTGACTTATAGTCTGGGTAATATGGTAGTACTATTACTATACCAGTTTTGAAATCAATAAAGCCTGTGCATGCAGGACTGCAAGTAGTTGGGATTCCAATTATTACATTTTGTTGAACTTTCGAGTGCAGTGCACCTGAATATCATCTGTATGGACCTTTCTGGGATGGACAAGCAGAGGCCTGATTCTCCTGCTGACCTTTCAGTGCGATCTGTTGATTTCTAAAAGAGGCATTGACCTCAAAAAATGCACGTACACAATTGTGCAGATTCTTTCAGCTTTTATTTGTAAGTTCACTAGATGTCTAGTGCACAACTTTGCTGAACAAGCTGGGATCAGGTGGCATAGATACTAAAGAGAAAGATTGTGATGTATTATTGGGTTAAATAGAGGAGTCAGAGGCAGCTGAGTTGGGTTTTGATGAGCAAACTACCCAGCAAGTAAGGCAGTAGTTATGGCCTTTTTGTCCTTTTTTTTTGTCTCTAGCAGCATTAATGATAGCTTAATTACAATTAACTAGCTCAGTCTCATGAAAGCTTCTCATGCCGTAACAAGTCAGACCTCACTAGTGATTACAGTCTGCTAGTGAATTAGGGTGGAAGAACATGTGATTAACACTTCATTTAAATGCTCCCATTGAGCATTAATGAGAAAATACACAATCAACCAATAAATGTCTTGCAAGCATCAGTCAAATTAAAATCACATTCTTCAGCAGTTCCATTCATGTGTAGAGAAACAGTTTTCTTCCATTATCCATCTCTCCTGACTTGTTGCAGTAAAATAAAAATATTCTGGGAATCCGTTTCTACTCTTATTATTTTGCGCCTGAGTATGAAAAGTGAAACATAAGCAGAACAACACAACCAAACTAGGATTTCACATGGTTTTCTTCTTGTCACAGATTCTTCCACCTAAACTGTGGAAGTCTGCACTTGTTCGATGTGTCATATTTCCATTTTGGATCTGTTTTAAATGGGAAATTGGCACACGCAAATCTCACAATGTAATGTGTGCAAATTGTCCAAGACTGTGTGCCAGTTGTCCCAAATTGTGTCAATTGTCCCAATTTAAGTGTGTGACTGATGTCTGAAAGTATGTCCCAATATCCCAAAATGCAGGGGCCAAGTGTCTGAAAGTGGGCACCAATTGTCCCAAATTGAGGTTGTGCCAATTGTCTGAAGTTGTGTACCAAATATCTGCAAATTTTTATTCGTATTTGTTTTAGGTACTTTGGACAATTGGGACACATTTGTCATTCCCGATTCTAAAAATCCCAGACTTTGCTGATTTTGTCACAGGGTCACCGCAGGTCAACAAAACATGGGACTATGCAAGGTCCCAGCCTATGGAAGGAATCTTTCATAGGCTGGTTGACTTATAAAAACATTGTAAGTATTCCAGGGTACTTACAACTTTTTGCTAGTATCACCACAAAACGTTCACCCAACGAATATCCTGAACTTCTGCAACCTATAGTTAAGCCACAGCTGATTTTTAAAGTTGGCAGAAATTTGTGTGCAGGAAGTCCGGTAAATAGAGTTAGACAACTAAATCTGTAATGTTGAAGAGAGAGTTGATTCAAAAGGCGAAGGTCTTGAGTTACCAGCCTAACCTACCCTCAACAATGGAGACAAACTTTGGGTAGTGACCAAAAGAACAATATTGCAGATACAAGCGGATAAAATGAGTTCCTGGGCGCTCCATTAGAGATAGGTTAAAGCTTTTTGTCATCTGGATGTGAGTCAGAGTAGAGCTGCTGCTTGTCTACATTGAGAGGAGCCAATAGAGGTTAGCTTGGGCATCTGGTTAGGAACGCCTCCCTGGTGAGGTGTTCAGGAGACCCAGAGGAAGACACAGGACACACTGGAGGGACGGTATTCCCCGACTGGCAGGGAACGCCTTGGGATTCCCCCAGAGGAGGTGGGCCTCTCTGCTTAGGCTGCTGCCCCCATGACTCCAAGACGGGCAAATGATACATGGATGGAAATATGTAGATATGTCTACCCCTAACCTTTAAAC